AATGAAAATGATAGAGTCTCTTTTAACATTAATCCGCTTATTGAAATAGCTAAAAATCGTTTTAACAGTTGGTTACAAAGAGATCTTTTATTAAGAAGCCGTGTCTTATTAACCAAAGCTGAAGGTATTTCTAGGCAGACATACATATCTTTCTTTTTACATACGATAAAAAAATAAACAAGATAACTGATCAAATAATAATACAATTCTAATGGAAAAATCGAGTGCATTTTATTAAACAGTCTGTGATAGTTAATTCATCCAAAGACTGTGGTTTAGACTATTTAGACTTCTCTTTTTAACACCTTCTTAATTAAATGGCTAAAAAAATTTTTTAATAATTACTCCTCATTTTGAAATATAGTCTCTAAAGTTGTACTTGATCGCATGGTTGGTCTTCCTTTCTTAATGTTGTGTGACTATAAAGAATAGAAACTTCCTATTAAACTTTCAGCCTTTCACAAACAAGCTCTTTTAGCTTGAAAATTAATATACAAACATAACCTCTCATTCCCAGAGATGGGTTGTGACTGGAAGGGCATCCGCTGTGTAAAATGTGCTGGATAAGTTGGTGGTTCATTCCGCTGTGGCAACCCCGGATTAATAAAGGGACTAAGCTGACAAGAAAATGAATGGATAAATGAACATAACTTATCCCCATTCTAATGTTATATTTGGAACAACGGTAATATTTTGTACAAACATAAAAGCTTGTTCTTAAAAAAATTGGTTTAAAAAATATATTTTTTTGGTGGGACAGGTACCAAATTCACAAAGTTACTTAATGTCTTATGAATCATTTTTCACATTATAATTTTCCTGTATCCCATAAAGAATTTGCAATGGTTGTTGATGCTATTCCCCTATGTATTGTCTCACTATGTAAAAGTTCATAATAAAATTTTAATTGGAAAAAGGTATGGTCGTTGCCTAACAAATTCTTTATTACAAACAAATTTAAAGAGGTCTTATTTTAAATTCTGCATAAATTTAACCCTATCAAACATTTTCTTTCCATGTTCAGACAGGATATAGATCAAAACTTTTCATTTTGTTTGTCACAGCCAGAAACTGTGCCGCATATTTTTTTTGAATTGCCAGTTCTTGAAGAAAATATGGTGAGAGATGACTAATTTCATAAATGACAAATTATCGCCATAGGTTTTTGAACTACAACAAAAAATAGAGAAAGACGCTTATGTTATTAATCTTTTGATAATATAAGTACCATATTCACAGATGAAAATTTAATAACCAAAAACCATTTTATCCTGCTATACTAATTGATTCAAAACATACAAACAACATAAAGCAAAGCACTTATAAAGTAGCCATCAAAACCGCTTTTTTACTTGAAACCTTCAAGATCTTATAATCTCACAAGGCCCTTTTCTGTTACTATGTATACTTACACATTATATGTCTTATATGTTTTGTTCTGTACACCCCTGACATTTTTTTTTAAACTATTTTCCATTTCTTTTTTGTACTGTTCTAAATGTTGTTCTTTAAGAATTAATAATAAATAAAAATAAATAAATAAATAAATAAATAAACAACCACATTTTTGTTTCAGATTATCCAGTGTTGTTTTTATGTCTCATTCTACGTGCCGCAAGATAGGAAATGACATTTACATTTTACACCCGTGTAAAGAAGTGGGGTAGAGAAGAGAAGAGAAAGAGAGAGAGAGAGAGAGAAAATGTTCATTAATTATCAACATTAGCCAAGTCATTATATTAAGAAAGACTAAGATTCAACTGGTAATAAATGGAACCACAAGAACAACAACAGGTAAAAAAAAAAAAAGTAATAAAAAGAAAATCTAAAGAAGAAAATCAATCAAAACATAAATATTTCAAATTAAATAAAAGAGAATTTTAGTAAGAATTTGTAACAATTAACAATATATATATATACAATATATATATTTACAATATATCAAATATACTTTATATCAAAAGTAGTGTTTCCCAGTACTGGGTTGTGGCTGGAAGGGCATCCGCTGCGTAAAACATATGCTGGAATAGTTGGCTGTTTATTACTCTGTTTTAAAGAAAATGGGTACATTTAAAGAAAATGGGTGATCCATACTCTGTAAAACTTTCTAAATTATTTCAAATTTAATTCTTAACCCAACTTTTGGGTTCATCCAAATTTAACCCAGGTTTGATCATTTATATAAATTATTTGTCTTTATATTCATTCATTTTCTTGTCGGCTTAGTCCCTTTATTAATCCGGGGTCGCCACAGGGGAATGAACCGCCAATTTATCCAGCAAGATTTTACGCAGCGGATGCCCTTCCAGCTGCAACCCATTTCTGGGAAACATCCACGCACGCATTCACACACACACTCATACACTACGGACAATTTAGCCTACCTAATTCACCTATACCGCATGTCTTTGGACTGTGGGGGAAACCCGAGCACCCGGAGGAAACCCACGCGAAGGCAGGGAGAACATGCAAACTCTACACAGAAACGCCAACTGAGCCGAGGTTCGAACCAGCGACCCAGCGACCTTCTTGCTGTGAGGCGACAGCACTACCTACTGCGCCACTGCCTCGCCTCTTCTTTATATTCATATTTAAAATATTTTTATGTATTATATACAGTATTAAAATATTTTAATTATATACAGTTGGAGTAAAAATTATATTTCCCAAACAATGTTTAAAAAACAAGTACAATTTTCACATTAGTTCATTTATATTGTTGTCTGCATTGACATACAAGTCAAAGAAGATTTAAAAGTCCCTACTTTCTTTTTTCATTTGCCTTTTCCATACTGTCCCATTTTTTTCTGATTTGGGGTAGTAGTTAAGCCTTTAAAATAAATAACTAAATACTAGTATCTTGAAAAATATTTAGTAAAATGTTATGTTTTCGAGGTTATTTGAGATTTCTTATAAAACTATTATGTTTAGAAATGTGTTAAAATCTTAGAAAGTTGGGGGAAAGAGAAATTAGGAGAAATACATGGGAGACTAATAAGTCTGATTTTAGCTGTGTTTATACAGTGCATTTGGTAAGTATTCATAGCACTAAATTTTTCCCACACTTTTTATGTTACAGCCTTATTCCAAAATTGATTAAATTAATTTATTTTCTCAAAATTCTACACACAATACCCCATAATGACAATGTGAACAAATAGTTTTTGAAATTGTTGCAAATTTATTAAAACTAAAAAAGCTGAATAATCACATGTAAATAAGTATTCACAGCCTTCGCCGTGAAGTTCTAAATTGAGCTCAGGTAAATTCTGTTTCCACTAATCATTCTTGAGAAGTTTCAAAAGAGTTCACTTGCAATGAATTCAGTTGATTGGACATGATTTGAAAGGGCATACACCTATCTCTATAAGGGGCCCAGGGTTGACAGTGCATGCCAAAGCACAAACCAAGCATGAAGACAAAGGAATTTTCTGTAGACCTCAGAGAGAGGATTGTCTTGAGGCACAAGGCTGGGGAAGATTACAGAAAGATTTTTGCTGCCCTGAAAGTTCAAATGAGCACAGTGGCTTCCATCATCCATAAGTGGAGGATGTTTGGAACCACCAGGATGCTTCCTAGAGCTGGCCGGCCATCTAAGCTGAGTGATCGGGAAGAAGGGCCTTAGTCAGGGAGGTGATCAATACCTCGATGTTTACTCTGTGTGAGCTCCAGTGTTCTTCTGTGGAGAGAGGGGAAATTAACAGAAGGACAACCATCTGTATAGCAATCGACCAATCAGACCTGTATGGTAGAGTGGCCAGATGGAAGCCACTCTTTAGTAAACGGCGCATAGCAGCCCACCTGAAATTTGCCAAAAGGCATCTGAAACGAAATTCTCTGGTCTGATGAGACTAAAATTGAGCTCTTTGGAGTGAATGCCAAACGTTACGTTTGGAGAAAACCAGACACCGCTCATCACCAGGCTAATAGCATACCTACAGTAAAGCATGGTGGTGGCAGCATCATGCTGTGAGGATGCTTTTCAGTAGCAGGAACTGGAAGACTAGTCAGGATAGAGAGAAAGATGAATGCAGCAATGTACAGAGACATCCTAAATGAAAACCTGCTTCAGAGTGCTATTGACCTCAGACTGGAGCAACAGCTCATCTTCCAACAGGACAATGACCCAAAGTACACCACCAAAAAATCAATAGAGTGGCTTCACAAAACTCTGTGAATGTCCTTGAGTGGCCCAGCCAGAGTCCGGAACTAAATCTTATTGAACAGCTCTGGAAAGATCTGAGAATGGCTGCAAACCATCGGTTACCATAAAGCTTGAGAGGTTCTGGAAAGAGGAAAGGGCAAAAATTCCCAAAATAGGGTGTGCCAAGCCTGTGGCATCATATTCAGAAGACTTGAGGCTGTAATTGCTGCCAAAGGTGCATCAACAAAGTATTGTGCAAAGGCTGTGAATACTTATGTACATGTGATTTTTCAGCTTTTTCATTTTTTAAAAATTTTCAACAATTAATTTTTTTTTCACATTATCATTATTGGGTATTGTGTGGAATATTTTGAGGAAATAAATGAGTTTAATCTATTTTGCTATAAGGCTGTAAAAAAATGTGGAAAAGGTGAAGCGCTATGAATACTTTCAGGATGCACTGCATAATATATATATATATATATATATATATATATATATATATATATATATATATATATATATATATTCCTTTAAATAGGCTAAAGATTTCTGGTGACTTATGAGTTGTAGTTTGCAACATTGTATGGAAGACTAATATACATGATGTACAGTACAAGAGAGGCAAATATAGAATGCTCTGGAGAGAGAGAGAGAGAGAGAGAGAGAGAGAGAAAGAGAGAGAGAGAGAGAGGGAGAGATCATTACAAAACGCGCATGCACAAGAAACAGACACATTGCATTTGTCCACCTGTATTACTATCTTGATTTACGAAACCCAGCGCGAGGGAATTAATCAACGGCTCCGTGCGAATGCAGTCAAACAGAAGGCGGTTTTCCTGTTCAACCGTGATACTCTCTTCTTCCTCGGCGGTCATGTGTGTTTCGCATCGCTGTTTCTTCCAGTAAGCACCAATGCATGCATGCACCCGCCTCCCCTGCGCTCTCAAATAGATGGTGCAAGTAAAGATGTCCAAATCTTCCGCAGACCCTCTGTCTGGGGTAGAAAGCGCTTCTCAGTCGCACTATTTCCAGGTAAGACTTTTGGGGGGGATTTGTATACGTTGTCGCAAATGGTTAATTTGCTGCTACTTGTTGTTGAGCAGTCGTGCATTAAAGCGCTTCATATATCCGCAGAGGGCTACAGCTACACAATCTGCCCGTGTATAACGCCTTTATCGCGCTTTTAATCAGACGCGCGCAGTTTTAATGAGGCGAGATGTTGATCAAATGTGTTGATGCTTCTCCATCCGCCAAACTCACATTTCTTGTTTTTCCCCCTCCGCCCTGAGATTTCACACCGCAACCGAGGCCTCATCTTTCGGGCCAGGCATCAGTAGACACAGTGTTCATTAAACAGTTCAAACACAGTCAATTTCTACTGAGTTTTGATAAACGGGGTTACAATCTCGTTCAATACTCTTATGGTGGACCATTGTCGGTCAAGGTTCTCACCTGTAGCCAACATCCGTCCATTGGTCACCTGTTTCTGCTTGAAATTATAGATTAATCTAGTTGCTGTGTTTTTAACCTGTTAGCTGGTAGGTCTGCGTTAGCTATTATTTGGTTAAAATAGTATTATTTAGTTCATGAATCTTATACGGATAGACCACTTTGGACTGGCATCAACACTGTATCAACTGGTCATACTAGTTCAGGAGGTTTTTTGGGAATTTATATGGTCAGTTAGCATCAAAAGTTAATCATGTTCCTCGGCAGAGCTACCATCTTAACCTGATTTTACAATACGGTCTCAAGGCAGTTTGTTAATTTTGACTTATTTTTCTATTTTGGGGAACTGGTGGCTACATTTTAACCAAATTGCTGTTAGTCAAGATGGTTAGCTTTAGAATAGACAAATTTTCTGTAAACTGAATAGTTCTGAATGGTTCTAAAGAAAAGAAAAAAAAACATCGTATGACGAAGACAAAGTACAGTCAGAATCTAGACTAATTTTGCTGTAACTTACACAAAATAGTTTTTAATCATCCTAATGAAAAACATCAGCTGACTAAAACAAAGTACAGTCAGAATCACTCATTAAAAGTCACTAATTTAATTTCTGTATGGTAGACCCTTACTGGTCAAAACAAAAGTCTCACTTGTGGCCAACACCAGTCCATCGGGCATCTGCTACTGCTTGAAATGATAGATTAAGCTTGTTTCAGTGTTTTTGAACATGCGAGCTGGTTTCTGCACACCTAATTTGGCTATTATTTAGTTAAAAATACTTAATATCTGGTCCAAGCTTGTGTGTAGACCACTTGACTAGCACCAACACTACCAGCTGGTCATTCTGGGGTTCAGGTGGGTTTTTGAGAAACGGTATATGGTCAGCTAGCATGTAAACAAAGGTTAATCACAATTCTCAACAGAGCTACCATCTTAACCTGGTTTTACAATACGGTCTCAAGGCAGTTTGTTCATTTTGACTGATTTGTCCATTTTGGCGAACTGGTGGCTAAAGTTTTAACCAACTAGCAGTTAGTCAAGAGGGTTAGCCTTAGATTAGACCAATTTTGCTCTAACTGACACAAATAGTTCTGAATGGTCCTAAAGAAAAAAAAAAATTACATGATGAAGACAAAGTATAGCCATCTAGGGATTAGTATTGTTAAATAAAGTTTAAAAATCACTCATTCAAATCCCTTATGGTAGAGTCCATTGGTCACCTGTTCTTGCTTGAAATGCTATAGATTAAGCATGTTGCATTGTTTCCGAATATGCTAGCTGGATTCTACACACCTAAATTGGCTATTATTTGGTTCAAAAGAGTAAATATCTCCTCCAAGCTTGTCTGTAGACCACTTTGGACTGGCATCAACAGTGAACCAGCTGGTCATATGGGGTTCAGGTCGGTTTTTAGGAAATGGTATAGGGTCAGCTGCATGTAAACAAACGTTGATCACGTTGCTCAACAGAGCTAAGCTGATTTTACAATACGATCTCAAGGCTGTTTGTCCATTTTGACTTATTTGTCTATTTTGGTGAACTGATGGCTACATTTTAACCAACTAGCAGTTAGTCAAGAGGGTTAGCCTTAAATTAGACCAAATTTCCTGTAACTGACACAAAATAGTCCTAAAGAAAAAAACATTAGATAACAAAGACAAAGTAGAGTTAGAATCTAGGGATTGGCATTGATGAACAAAGTTAAAAAGTCCCCCATTTAATTCCCTTATGGTTAACCCTTATTTATATATATATATATATATAACCTGTCTCATTTGTAGCCAACATCGGTCACCTAGCTGTTGTTGCTTGAAATACTATAGATTAAGCTAATTCCAGTGTTTTTGAACATGCTACCTCATTTCTATACACCCAAATTGGCTATTATTTGGTTAAAAAGAGTAAATATCTGGTCCAAGCTTGTCTGTAGACCACTTTGGACTGGCATCAACACTGTACCAGCTGGTCATACTGGGGTTCAGGAGGATTTTTGAGAAATGGTACTGTACATGATCAGCTGTTTAGTTTGTAATTAATTGCCAACATACTGTAAATCGCAAAATCACAACTAACATCCTTACCTGATTTTAGAATACAGTTTGTTCATGTTTGACTTACTGTATTTGTGCAGTTTTTGCTGAATTGGTTTGTATTAATATTTACAATCTCATTGGTATGTTTCATTTAATCTTCTTAACACCTCATTTAAAGTTATGTTTAGGATTTTCATGCTTTATCTTTTGCAAATCATGTTTTTAAACATGATTCAATTCAATGAACTCAAATTAAATCACCACTGTTTTAGACTATTTTCTTCAGAAAATGTAGCCATTATTTTAAGATCTTTCCTTAAGAGCTAGTCTAACAAACTAGCAAATAATCAAAATTTAGTAAGCTTCAAATTGTGCATTCAAATTAGACCAGTTTTGATGTAACTGACACAAATAAAAAAAATATATAAATTGTCCTAAATAAACAGTAGATCGCTAAAAATAGTTTATTTATCAGTTAAAATCTGAGATTATGTGGATCAGTATTAATAAATGACATGATTCTTTTTTTTTATATACGCTTATGGTTGGACCCTCAGTGGTCAAGGGTCTCCCCTGTAGCTAACATCAGTCCATCGGTCACCTGTTCTTGCTTCAAATACTAGCTTAAGCTAGTTGTAGTGTTTTTGAACATGCTAGCTGCTTTCTGTAGATCTGAGTTGCATATTAGTTGGTCAAAAATGTTAAAAAATCTTTGCCAAGATAGACCTGTAGACCATCTTGGACAGGCAACGATACCAGCTGGTCATACTGGGGTTCAGGAGAGTATAGGGGAAATTGTGTCTGGTTGGTCAGCTAATAACCAGCTTGTACCATGTATTAATGACCATGTTAGATGATTTAACCTAAATATTACAAAATACATCTATGGCATGTTGTATCTATTTTACATTTTGTTTTTGCTGGCTAATTCCTATTCATTTGTACAATCTTATCTGTATGACCTATCCTAGCTCATACATTCCTTCTTTCTAAAAATAATGTTAGCTAAAATACCAGACACATGCACCAGTTTTCACCAGACACTTTCTTACAATCACTCCACATGTCAGTTTATGTACTGTAGATATATAGTGTGCCTCAAACAGGTGAGTGGGTTTGACAAACCACCTGTAGAAACACACTTTCTCTCTCCATATGCACCGGACACTTTACTTAAACTCCAACTTACAAGGACTTTGTAACAATGTTCCACAATGTACCACAAATAATGTTGCACTACTTGTTTTCGTCAACCTTAAATATCTATGCACAATATTGTTTTGCCTTATATAAAAATAGTCTGTCTTAGGTTATGTGTACAGTTAGGTGTTTGTAGTATATCCAGCATGTATTTTTTTTTTTAAAGATGTCTTATAGATGTCTAATAGATGTCTAAACATTGTCTTGGCTAAAACAAGGCTAAATTTGGGCTGTCAGTAAAAATCTATAATAGACGTCTAAGAATAGCCCAAAACCAGACTAGTCATCAAATAAACAGAAATGAATGACTACACATATAAAGTCTGTCTAATCTGTCTATCTATAATCTGACTAGTCTAGTTTTGGGCTATTCTTAGATGTCGATTTGATTTTCACTGACAGCCCACGTTTAGCTTTGTGTTAGCCAAGCTGTCTACGTTTAGATGTCTATTAAACGTCTATTAAACACAAAATTGTTTGCTGAGTAGTTAGTATAATTAGATCACCTGTATGTTAGTTATATATAGGTTTAAAACAGCTCTTTATGTTCAGTTTTGTGTTCATATTTATGGTTATGTAGTGAAACACATGATTTTGATATGTCTAACAAAAAGACAATAAAGCTTAACTTGACTTGACTCGAGATAGTGATGGATTTTCCAACAGTAACAGTGTCTAATACCAAATCATCTTCTTCTGAAAACGATTTTAAAAACAAGTCTTAAAGGAATAGTTCAAACAGAAATGAAGGTCTGCAGTTCATTTACTCACCATCTGGCCATAGAAGAAGTAGATGGTTTTTGCTGAGGCTGATGTTTAGGTGCACAGGCTTTATCTTAAGGCCTCCAGCTTAAGGCCTCAACACTCTTTAATAAGAAGCAGGAGAGCAACTAAGAGCATCTTGTTCTCAAATCATTCTTTATTATTAACTGTCTGAGTGCTTGTTTTGATGTGCTCGTCTCCTACAGCTTCCACGAAAGTTGCCGAAACGCAAGGGTCGTTTTAAACGTTCAGATGGCAGCACATCTTCTGACACCACCTCCAGCTTCATCAAACGACAGGTAAGAGTCGGCTTTATCCATCAGCGCTTCTGGATTGATCATTATATTGATACCAACGTTTTGTTTGTGTCATTGTCTGGGTTTGTTTGTGTGATCATTGTATGCCCATGACTTGTTTAGTAGCTGCTGAGGTTGTGTAGTTAGAAGATAGTGCTAGCAAAAACTGATTGCATTGGTTTGGTTTTGTCGTCTTGAAACTAGGGCTGTGTTATTTGAATCAAATCGAAATTTAAAACGCTGCTATTAGTTAATGGCAAGAGGCTACAATATGAAATATATATTATGTATTATTTAATTTTCCCTGCCCAAAGCAAATGCGTGTGTGACAGTCTTGCTAGCCAATTGAGTGAGCACACTGTTGTTCTGCCCAACCAGAATTGCACAACCCGAACTACACCTATAATAAAAAACAAACAAACAAACAAACAAACAAACAAACAAACAAACAAACAAACAAACAAACAAACAAACAAACAAACAGGAAAGCACTGGCAAGTGGGATTCTGCTGCCTCAAAAGCATTAACAGATTAATTAATATCAAAGAAAAACAGCATTAGTAATACAGGAATATTTTGATTTCAAAGGGCCCTATCATACACCCGGCACAAGGCGTGATGCAAATGTTATTTGCTAGTTTTAGCTTGATGCAAGTGTCATTTTGACGTTTTGTCAAAAATGTCTTTACAAATGAAAATTAATTAAAGGATGAAAATATTACAATAATTATTATGTTATACATAAATATAAAGTAGGCACAGAGGGGCATTTTTTTAGTTAATTCATGACAATTTACTTTTGTATAATGTTATTATTATTATTAGCAATATTATTTATTATATGCAGATTTTAATTACCTTTTAAAATACATTAAAAAGAGATTGTAATATTTACATAATTGTAATCATAATAAATGTAACTTTTTTCATAATATATTAAATTTAATAACCATATATAACAGTTTAATCAAATTTTTATTGAAATGTAGGGTAACTGCAACACATTATTTATATTCATATATTCATATTCGGCTTAGTCCCTTTATTTATCAGGGGCCGCCACAGCGAAATGAACCACCAACTTATCCCTTCCTATCCCTTCTTATGCCCTTCCAGTTACAACCGCTGAAACACCCATAAACTCTCGCTTTCTCACACATACACTACAGCCAATTTAGTTTAATCAATTCACCAATTCAATTCAATTGATCCACAGGGACTCGAACAAGCGGCCTTCTTGCTGTGAGGCGACCACTAACCACTGAGCCACCGTGTTGCCTTACTTTTATACATATATGTGTAATTCTAATGACTAAATATACATTTTTATAATAAATTTTATAAAGTATAAAAATTTTATAATAAAGACTTCAATAAAAAAAAAATGTTGTAATAGCCAGTCACATCTATTGAACTTTACAACATTTTAATTTCTGTCCTTATTTTGTAAAATATATATATAATTTTAATTAATTTATTCATTTTCTTTTTTATAAAAGTTACACAACACTTTTTGTATTTCTGGTGTATTTTATTGTTATAAGGGTAATCAAGGTTGTTTACAGGTTTTAAACAGTAAGCTTAAATTAGTTAAAAAAAACTATTTTACCAAAAAATATTATTATTGTTATTATATTATTATTGTATTATTATAATAATAATTATTATTATTGGGTTGGTATGGTGGCGCAGTGGGTAGCACAACTGATTACAATATCAATATGGAATATTTTTAACAAAAAACTATTACTATTATTACTAGAGAAAGTCTAAAAGTCTTCTATGTCTTTGATTAGATTTTTTTTGATTAATTGATTCCTGTATATACTGTCTTAACAGCGTATGCAATGTGTAAGTATTATTTAATTGCTGATTATAATTATAAGAATATAACCTAAAATGTCAGTCCCATTTGCTCTGTAATTCAGGACGTGGCCACCAGATGGAGGCAGCTCCATTACCACTGTAGCATCTTCAACGTTTTTTAGCAAATCTTTTGAAAACACCAATAGGAAAAAATGGGTTATGATGACAAGCGCACTGAATTTTTTTTGGCACACTTCAATATCCATGTCAGCCTCGTTACATCAATTAATTTCCTCTGTAATGAGTGACCCAAATTCTTCAGTTTGTTCTCCTCGCACTATACATAAGCTCATTCGTCTTTATATTGAGCCTGTGAAATGTGACACCCTCAGAAATCTACTTCAAATTCAGACAAGTTTATAGGCAAGGTATTAAAGGGCGTAAATGAGGACATCAACTGACTTCACATTAATCTGAAGAGTTTGATTGTGTGTGTGTGTAAAAAAAGAGAAGTCATATTGAGTGAATTGCTCATTTTTGTGATCAGGAGGTCATGGCAGTTTCAATTTTCTCCCAAAATATCACAGTTCCTAAAATATTAAACTAGTGAAATATTAATGGAACTCATTTGGAATGGAGGCTGCTGGCAAATGTAAAATTCTCACGTTTCCTGTTCGTAAAACGGTGACATATCTTAAAATAAGCACCTGTGACGTACATTATGGAATCCTTGCATGTATGAAAATGATGGATTGTGTGCTGTGTTTCATAAAGGGATGGTTTACTTAAGCTATAAATCATCAAAGGCTACGATAGCTCAATATTATAGTCATATGTAAAATGTAGCTATTGTTAAAAGGTTAGTTTGACTCAAAATGAACATTTCCCCATTATTTACTCATGTAGTTTTAAACTTTTATGAGTTTCTTTATTCTCACTCATTCATTCATTTTCTTGTTGGCTTAGTCCCTTTATTAATTCGGGGTCGCCACAGCGGAATGAACCATCAACTTATCCAGCACATATTTACACAGCGGATGCCCTTCCATCCGCAACCATCTCCGGGAAACATCCACACACACACACACACACAAACACACACACTACAGACAATTTAGCCTACCCAATTTACCTGGACCGCATGTCTTTGGACTGTGGGGGAAACCGGAGGACCCGGAGGAAACCCACGAGAAGGCAGGGAGAACATGCAAATACCACACAGAAACGCCAACTGAGCCGAGGTTCGATCCAGCGACCCAGCGACCTTCTTGCTGTGAGGCAACAGCACTACCTACTACGCCACTGCGTCACCCCGTTTCTTTATTCTGTTCAACACAAATAAGATATTCTGAAGAATGTTGGAAAACAGCAGTTATTGACTTTTATAGTAGGAACTAGGGTTGGGTCGATAGACGATGCCATCGTCCATTGCCGATGGCTGATAGACATTATGATGCTAAGTCGGCATTGCGATCCTCCGCCCTACCCCTGTCGCAGAAGTAACCCGTTCGCGAAAAAAACACACTTAGGCCACGTGTACACTAATACACCCATGCACAACGAGACGTTTATTTGCTCGCGTTTTCCATCGACGTTTAATGCATCGTGACTAAATAAAGGGCATCAATGTGATCGTCCACACCAACGCGCAAAACAGCAGGCGTAAAAGCGCCAATTAAAAAAAAAATGGCTCATGCTTGTTTTTATTGGTTTTGACTTGCCGCGGTTTTTGAAAAACCTTCAACTCGTTTTCTCGTGTGTTCCTGAATGAGCAAGCACGAGCATGTGGTTTCCATCACCATTTTCTAATGGGACCATTGACCGTTTTCTCAGAGGATGACAAACGAAAAAATCATTGCTGCAGTTCTGAGACAAGTTTATGGAGAAAAATGAAAAACGTTGCAGTGTTTTGGTGCGCCGTGCAATTTGGGGTAAATATCTAATTGCGTTATTTATTAATTTATTTATTAATTTATTTATTTATTTATTTATTTATTTTTTGACAGATTTTAAATTCATTTGTGATTTAATTTTGTAGTCAAGCTTTAACTCAATCAGCTGTGTAGTAGCTACTTACTGCTGAAGCGTAGTAAAGTGCAGTGAGTGTTTTTTTTTTAAAAAAAGGAACTGAAAAGATAATAACTTACTTAAACATTTAATCAAATTTGTTTGTAAATGTTTAGAAATAATACAATTTTTTTCTCTAGAACAAACAGTAAACACAAATAAAATGACCTTACCTTTCTGTAAACAAGTTGAACTTAAATAAGAGAAATAGTGTAGCTTATTATACAAACAAAAAATATATAATTACAGTATTATAAAAATACAGAACACTACTTACATGGCTGAAACAACTCTGAAATTGTACTTTGCTGTTGCTTGCTACTAGATTGAGTATCACTGGAAATACTTTCAGTTAAATCTTTTGCAAGACACTCATCACTCACACAGTTGGCTATTAAGACTAACACACACAGATGAAAGTCAAGCAGTTGCTCTGGGTACTGGAACATGAATGATACAAATACATTTCATATTGCCGTCTCTTGCAATTAGCTAATTGCAACTTTTCGATTCGATTAATCGCACAGCCCTAGCACTGTGTTTGTCTGAGGTGATTAGTCTACCGGTATTACTGAAGTGTGAAGCAGATTAATTAGTTCAACTTACAAGAATCGCGGTGCGCTCGTGGCATTCAGAAAAGTACAGATGTTTTTCAACTAGATGTATCTGGAAAATGCATGTGCGTCACGTGCGCCGCTTGCACAACATGTGCGTGTCGTACAAGTCACGTGCCTCCATCGGAAATGACAAACTTACACCCTAAGCTTATTGGCATTGCTTCCAAGGCGCACACTCAGCAACCACATTTCATGGTTTCCGCTAAATTCATACTTCCATGGCGGGGCGCCACACCAAAATTTATCCTGCCACGGCTACATTACAACTTTTCATTCAAAACATTGTTGTGTTTTTTTTTAATAGCGGGTGATAAAAGCAACAAAACTTATTAAAAGGTAAGTGATTTATAACAGCGCAAACTTTTCTGCAGCCGTAGTAGTGCTGTGCGTCAATTGTTAAACCCTTTAAGGTTACATGCTGACTGACTGGCTGACTTACAGGTGTATGATGCGTGAGGCCAGAAAACACGACGTATAGCCGTTTCACTTTACTTGACGCATTAATACCTCGCT